CACCAAAGAGGCTCCAGCAACCTGGGAAAGCTCACGGTAAGCACCATTCGGAAACCCCTTTTTGCTGTCTTTGTTATATACTTTTGCAACTTCCCCTTTTTCCTTTTTTTTTTTAAATTTTATTTTGCGGGGCTGGGTGGGTGGAGGGGGTTGTCTCCGGTAAAAATTGATTCTTGAAATTGGGGTTTGGCTTTGGAACATGAAAGTAAACTATGTCTTGAATTCATGATTATTGGACCTTTAAAGTGGAAATTTTTATTTGTTTATCTTGATTTGGTGAACTCCACTTCCCCCCCAGAAAAACCCCCTCCCAGGCTCAGCATAAAGACGTGGATGATTAAGTTATTGAATGTATTATAACAAAGAGTAGGTAATTTGGATGGGAAAGAACTTTGCTTGAGCTATGGCATTTGTGGTATTTATTTATACAAGTTTGGATATAGCACATGACGATGTGTAGCAAAAATAATGTCCATGTACATTGTCCCTGAGTACAAAATCTTGTTAGGTGCTAGCTAAGTGTTGTATCAACTAGCGAGCTTTGTTCAAGTGGCAAAAGTTGAGGGATTTGGGACTTAGGTCATAGGCTCGAGCCCTGCGCCATTCGAACTAAGCTTGGTATTTAAGTGGAGAAGGGTAGAGGTGCAGACCCATTATCCCGAGTTTCGGAGGCTGCAAATTGGTCCTAAGGGGTTGATCCCGAATAGATTTCTCGGTCATAAAAAAAGGGTTTGTATCAACTGAGTTTCTCTTTCGCCTTGTTGATATAGCACAAGAAGTAACGTTCTTCAAAAAAAAAAAAAACAAGTTTTTTTTTTTCGCCAAAGAAAGATAGTTGGGGAAACAGATAGCAGGAGTCAAGGAAGGTACAAAAACAAAAGTTCCTTTGAATCGCGAGGCACAAAAAGACAGTGGAGACTCCTTTGTTAGTAACATTATAAATAGTTGCACCTGTGTCATATTTTTTTGATAAGTAAAGTAGTTTAATCACAACTATATTGAAAGCACCAAGCGCTACAAAAACTTTGCGAATCTTCCTTCTGTAGCTATCTAGATTGTTCATGTTTCTTGCCTATATCACGACAAACTTTGCTAATCTGTTAGAATCTTAAGTTTACACATTTCTTGAAACTTCTGCAAAGCACCTCAAGGTGGTTGAAGTTGAACACTCTATAAGACTATAACTGCTTTAGGCATTGTCCAATCAGTTTCAGAAAGAAAATAAATTCCAGACATCTTTCACCGCCTTAATTTGCAAATAAGAGATGATTCCTTGTTTTCCCCTCCTTTCCCAGTACATGACTATGTGGGGTTGGCCTGGTGGCAATTGACTTGAGCCTTGGGGTTTGCTCCCTTTCAAGGTCTCAAGTTCGAAACCCACTGGGTGCAAACAATTTTTGAGGGCCATCGGACTGGGTAAAACCTGAATTAATCGTGGTGCACTTGCGGGAAACTCCTTGCCGAGGGCTTGTGCACCCCCGGGATTAGTCAGGGCTCAAAGAGACTTGGACACCCGGTGCAAATAAAAAAAAAATGACTATGTGCTTTTTCAGTATCCAGCTTACAAGCTAGTTTAGGAGTGCATCTTCCAATCCACATCCAGATATTCATTTTCTATTGGGGCTGAGAGTGACTCTTCCTGGCTTTCACAAATATGTTCTGTGCATCCGATACAATATGGCTATGACTTCTTCTAAAATCAAAGACAACAGCTTTGGTAAAGTCTTTTATTAAACTGGTACCAAGATGGTACCGGAACAAGATTAATCTAATAGATGTAGACATAGATACTTCCAAGTTCCAACTAAGCTAATTGAGTGAAAATCTGGTGCTAAATCAAGCTCATCTCGTTTCTTGAAGATGCATCTATCCTGAAAGTAAAAGGTTCTCAGAACTTTTTTCTTACCTATCGCCAAAATTTCTGAAATAAGCTCCACTGTGAAGCCATCCGACCTTCATAACATTTCTCCTGCTCGTGAATTTACTGCTTCAATAACTCTGCTCGCGAGTTTACTGCTTCAATAACTCTCTTCTGGTACACCTGGTAAAATGAATTTCTTCCACTTTTGGCCACTAGTGCTAAGTGTCAGAGAATAGATTCTGATGAAAGTAAAGGATTTCCTTCTTATTCTTATTTGCGTCCTTAATTGTTCTACCATTAATGAGCAATTTGAAGATACTGTAGTAGTAGCGATAATGTGCATTTGCCATTCTACACAAAATCTAATGTTTTTGTCTGCTTCCTTGATGCACCATGCTCTATATCTTTGTTGCCATATGATGTCCTTTGTTAATGCCAATCTGCCCAGGTATCTGTTCGGTATTTTCATGATAAATCCTTTTGGTCTACTTCTTGGACTTAGTTGCAATGTCAAGAGGTTGAGAGTCCTTAACTTTCCTGGAATCTCGAGTTTAGTCTCTTCCAGTTCAAACACTTATTTACTTCCATTTTCGAACATCCCTTTCCTATTTCAGCATCACGACCAGCACAAAATCTGTGTTTCCCGTTGCATGGTAGGACTCCAACCAGTTCTTTACTTGGTCTTCAGACCCTTCCTTTCATAACTGTATGTTCTCTAATCTGAAAGGTCTCTTGATTATCTATCCAAATCCAACATTATGAGGAAGTGATCATAAAGAAGTCTCCGCTGTAAGACTCTTGTATTTGCATATTATCTTTCCAATTACCTGAGATTAAAATTGTTCAAGCCTGGAAAACTTCCCTGTGTTTCCTCCACTCAGACCAAGTGAAATTTCCTTCTGTCAATGGAATATCTATCAAGTCCATATCCAGAATTAAGTATGATCATATTGATAAGTACATGACTTATTTGATCTTTCTTCCAGAAAATTCATCTTAGGTCCATGGGCCTTGGAAAACACCAGGAGAAATTGCTAATGACAAATTCAAGTAAATAGGAAATAGAGTAGTTCCCAGCAAGTTTGTCTTGACATGGTTAACCTCCTATCTTGCGTAACCACGCTTTTACAAACACTGGTGCTACACACTCCGGCTTGTATAGCTCATAGGATTTTTTCGTCTATTTTACAGACAGTTTTCACTCTTTCCCATTGTCAATGAACCTTTCCAATATCATTGGCAAGTCCCTCACTGCTGTATCATTTGCCAACTCGGCAATGATTACTACTGCTCTTCTTATCTCGGTAAACCTGAACGTAAACAAATCTGCCATAGAGTTGGAATTTCTTATGAATTGCTACTCATTTTTGGTTTTTTCATCTTTTCTCCATTTGTTACCTATCTAGCCTTTGCTTTCTGATGCTAGTCATAAGACATGTCAGTACTGTCTGAAGCTCTGTTTATCCAACTATTATTGCGCTTGCCGATCCTCTTCTCTTCCGATGATGCTGAACCACACTGTTTCACTATGTTTGATTTCCTCAAAGGGTTTCCCTCCATCAAGGAAGAAAGTCTCTCTCTCTCTCTCTTTTCTTCTTCGGACTGCCATTTCTCTTGGGCCAAAAGAGCAGAAATAACTGGAGAAGACAACCGAGGACACTGGCGCCAACCCGTTTCAGCCACGATCATGGTGCTGCAACTCGTTTCGGTGTACACGGACACACATAGTACTCTTTTAATTGCATTAAGTTGGTTGCAGCGTGATTAGCACTAAGATGATATATTTGTTTCATGAGTAGTTTGTTATGCTATCAAAATTATGTGAACTGTGGTTACCGCTCTTTCTAAGATGCTGGTGAATTGCTTGTGTTTAGGTGAACTTTGGCGTTACTCATCATGGAAACTTCAGATAAAGAGTATGCTGCTTTTGGAGAGAAAGTGAAACGTACTATATTCATTGACAACCTTTCACCTGTGGCTACTGAAGCTGTTGTTAAAGCTGCTCTTGATCAATTTGGGAATGTCATTCAGGTCAAGTTTATCCCAAACTACCTTGAACCAAAGAACATTGGACAAGCTGCATTGGTTGAGGTGGAAAACGCAGACCAGGCGAAAACTATTATCTCTGAGTTAAGCAATTCCCCGTTTATGATATGTGGTATGCCAAGGCCAGTCAGGGCACGTGCTGCTGAAGCAGAGATGTTTGATGACCGTCCTAGAAAACCTGGTAGTAAGATAGTATGCCGATGGTTGGACTCTAGCGATCCTGATTTTGAGGTGGCCAACAAGATCAAGCTTACAGTTAGAAAACAGGCAGAGGAATCTAAGTTTTTGCTCAAGGTAAACTTTCGTTTTTACTTCAGTGTATATCTCACATTTAAGTATTCCTGATGTTAGAAGTTCATTTTCTCTATGTAGCATCAACTGGAGGAGGAAGAAAATCTTTCGAAGAAACAGACGGAGACCTTGAATGCAAGCTATAAGAAGTTTGAAATCATAGAAAGTGTTGTTAGCAACAGAGTTGCTACACGGTTGGCAGAACGTTACAGAGTGCGTGTTGCAGATACTGAGCAGTAAGCTCATTGTTAGAATACTTTGCACAACAAACTAGCATTGACCTAAAGATTCAACTTCTAGGCAATTGACATGTTTTGCTTTTTATGATCATATTTCTGGCGGTAGAGTTGAATCTATAAAACCGTGTTCACTTGATCACGAATTGTAATTTGGCCTAAATTACTTAATTGTGTGTCAAGTAAACCTGCAGGAGATTAGCTTATATCTAATTATCAATGAAGATATTGTAGGAGTGTTAAAGCTAGTGTGTGTGTGTGTGTTTGTTGTTTTCTTTTTCCTTTCTGTGGCCAGGAGAAAGATGTAGTTATAACCATAGTAAAGCAGGGCAACGACAGGTATGATCAACTGAAAAAAGAAAGCCAAAAGTAAAGCAGAAAAAGAAAACAGTACATACTTGGCACAAAGTCGCAACAAATTGGACTTGAACAACATACGTTGAAGATTTCGTAAAACAACACAAGAATTTAAATAACACATACTTTAACAAGTCACAAGTTGCCTTAGACAAGACAATTTATTACTTGGTAGTTATAAAATTGGACAGACCAGAAGACGCTTTTAATTAAAGATTTGGAGCTGGAATAGCAAACTCCAGAAGCTCAGGATCTCTGTCAAATATAGACATGTCTTGTTCGTCCAACATGACTATGGCTTCAACTCCACCTTCACTTTGATTATCCATCAGAAAAAATAACTTACTGAAGTGGCCAGTTGCCATGCTCACTCTAGCTGGCCTCCCCCAACCAAAGTCTGTTTTATAAAGCGGGAGTGCAATCAAACTGCTACAAAAATAATCATCAGATTCATACTTTTGAGATAAATGCATTTTTCTTAATATTATCTTTGTCCACAAGTTTCTCTTTCTCCTTCCTCATTTCACTAACCAATTTTGGACAACTGATGTCCCTTTCATTGGTTGTTTGCACAGAAAATCCAGATACAATATTTCCAGATGCATCATGTGACAAAGATGGGTTGAGCCTTTGGCGCATATCTGCCACTTGAAACAAAGAAGATGGGTTAAATGAACCATAATTCGCTCTTCGTGCAGCCACAGCACATTAGTAAAGACGTGTGCTCACAACTTCAGTTCGAGTTGGATTATGGACTTCCGATTCATGAGCAACTTTGGCTTTGAGGGCATTTATTTTAGCAGCTGGGAACACAAATCTCTTTCCGAGATATCCAAATGATTCTTCAGACTTGATAGTTAATACAACAGTAGGATTAATATCAGATTGTGGGTAGATGGAGTCTTCTACAAAATGAGGAGATGATAGTGTTGCATTTATATCACGGCTTAAAACTCCCCAATTGTAAAAGAAATTGCTAGCAGTGCAACCATCTCCCATCCTTTTTTGGAAAAATGACACTGTATAGCTGCTGTAAAAATAATAGCCGAAAAATGTATAAAATTTGTATATTTTTTTTATATATATATACATTCTGTAAGTTATATAAAAAAATTATACAAATTTTATACATTTTTTCGGCTACCAGATATAAATAGTTTCTGACACGGGCTAAAAGTGATAATACCCTCCTTTTTTCCACAAAAGCCCAATAAGCTGGCTTGTCATTTCCCTACTCCTGGCCCCAAGAAACAATCGAGCCCAATACATGATGAGTAGAAGGTTAGAGGGTGCAAAATATAATTAGTGTTCCGCTTTAATTTTGACAATTTTGATTACGAAAAGTGTCTGACAAAGAATTCACCACTACATTTGGCTACTAAGTCGTGCAAAAAGCATATTCTTTATGTTAAAGTGTTTTATAATCCTAATTACAATATATTATAAATAGATTTAAGTTATGTATATTGATAGTGTAATAACTTTTTTATACTACTACATCCGTTTCAATTTAGATAAGATAGTTTGATTTGACACAAAGTTTACGAAAGAAAATAAGACTTTTGAAACATGTGGTCCTAAAAGCTTAAGGGGTAAAAGCTTTGTGGGGCCATAATATTTGTGTGGCTATAAAAGCTTCTCCTTAAGGATAAAGTGGGTAAAATAAAAAGTTCAAAGTTAAATTATTTCTAATTATAGAAATGTGTCATTCTTATTGGAGCGGACTAATAAGGAAAATGTGTCATTTAAATTGAAACGGAAGGAGTATTAATTTAATTTAATATGTTGCCTAGGTTACTTTTCATTTATCATAGAATACAAATCACTATAGAGTAGGACTATAGTTACACAAATTCAATACTTTCAGTTCACCCGAGATTAATTCCAAAACCTATCATGCACTTAATTTCGACCCTCCTTGCTTTAAGCCTTTATCATTAAACTGATACTTTGACTTCACGGAACATCATAGCATAGGCGGTTCAATGGAAGTGGGAGCCTAAAACTAAAAATTAATAAGAGGCCTTAAATTTATTTAATATTTTTATTTTGTTTTGCTTTTGTAACAGTTGCATACGAATCCTTTTGTACTTATCTCGATCATTCACTTGGCTACCTTCTAGCTTCCACTGCTGGAGATATTTTAACTCAAATTCGCTAAGACTTATATTATATTTGGTAAGAAACATATATTGTCTGTTACCATACTGTCTTTATATACTCTTATAATCTTGTAACGACCCGACTTGTCGTTTTGAACATTTACGCTCCTTTCAACTATTTGAAGTCTTGAATAGTTTTATATGATGTATTATGATGTGTGTGAATCGTCGATTTTGATTTTCAGGTGTTTCAGGACTAGTTCGGAAGAATGAATTTCATGGTGGAAGCTTAAATGAAAAGGGTTGACCGGAGTTTGACTTTTATGCAAACGGCTCCGGAATGGAGTTTTGATGGTTCCAATAGATCCATATGGTAATTTCGGACTAAGGAGTATGTCTGAATATTTATTTTGAAGTCTGTAGTTGAATTTGGCTTGAAATGGTAAAAATTAGAAATTAAAGGTTTGGAAGTTTGACCGGGAGTTAACTTTATTGAAATCGGGGTCGGAATCCAGTTCTGGAGATTTGAGCAGCTTCATTATGTCATTTATGACTCGTGCGCAAAAAAATTAAAATCATTCCGAATTCATTTGATACGTTTCGGCACAAGATATAGAATTTAAAATTTTGGAAAAATTTATAAGTTTGATTCGAGGTGCAATTTGTAATTTCGACGTTGTTTGATGTAATTTGAGACATTGAGTAAGTCCGTGTTATATTACGGGACTTATTGGTATATTCGAACGAGGTCCTAAGTGGCTCAGGTGAGTTTCAGACGAGGTTCAGATCGATTGGAGTCTTGTTGAAGCTGCTGGAATTTTCGGGTTGCTGGTGCAACCGCTTCTGCGGAAGCATGGTCGCAGAAGCGACTCCGTAGATGTCACGACCCAAAATCCTTTAAAGTTCGTGATGGCGCCTATTACCGCTATTAGGCAAGCCAACAATACTTGATTAACTTAATTACCCATTTTAGTATTTTGAAATCAAAATTTTTCTTCAATTAAATAATCAGAAATAAAATTTACAGAGTAAATGATAATATTTTCCCAATTACAATACTGAACAACTCATAAGTACCTCCAAAATCCGGTGTCACAAGTGCATGAGCATCAACTAGGAAGTAAATAAAATACAGCATCTATCCGGAATACAAATTAGACAGGAAAAATACAAATAACCCTGGAGGAGACTCTGCTGGCTGCGGATCGTAACCTGAAATGTAGCTCGCGGCAAGTCCACACATCATTCGTGCCTCCGTGCCCAAAGGACCACCGGACATAAAAGTACGTGCACAATAAAATATGCAGCAAGTATAATATGAGTACGTAAATCCACGTGTACCCAGTAAGTATCTAGCCTAACCTCGGAAGAGTGGTGACGAGGGGTCGACATCGACACTCACTAGTGGTCCAATAATATCAGGTACAGTAAAGATGTGAACAATATGATGCAGAGTAAATAAATAAAATAAACAAGCATAAAATACGTAGTACAAATTCTCCTCTTTACAATAGGCTCAAGCTCTCAATTAACAAATTTCCGCCTCAACCGGAGCATATATATAAATATATAGTGGACCTCACCAAAATGGGTCAAATCACGAAGAACTCACAGATACACTGGCTTCTTGCCAAATGTTACGCAGGATTTCATGAGGATATTTTAAAGAAATGCTGAGGCATACGGTCCGATCCCATCATAATATGTGCACTGCCGAGGGTCGAACGACACGAACCATAGATGCATCTATTAACCTGCCGAGGTGAACGGCCTTCTCCCATGAGAGTATGGTATATAAATCTTGCCGAGGCGAACGGCCCGATTCCATTAGAATGTGGTGCATAAATTCTGCCGAGGCGAACGACCTGATCCCATTAGAATAAGAAGTACATAATCCTGCCGAGGCGATCGGCCCAATCCCATTAGAATAAGAAGTTTTGACGGGTCCTTGACCCCAATCACGAATAAACCTGTGAGTTGTAATTTCTTTAATAAAAAACTTTCAATAAAACATATGTATCACGGAAACATGTCGTAAGATGAGTAAAATTATTCGGTGACTAATCATGAAGTCGTGAAGTCTCTACAATAGTAGTCTAGTCTCAAGTAGTAATGTAGAACAGAGGAATTTACTAGTCGAGAAACTGCTCAAACAGTACAACTATAGCATGATGTGAACCTAAGCCTACCCAGACAATAACATGAATGTAGCTACGTACGGGCTCTCGTCACCTTGCGCGTACGTAGCCCCCACAACAAGTAGAACACATCAATATACAACACCTAGGGGTAATTTCCCCCTCACAAAGTTAGACATGAGACTTACCTCGCTCCGACATTCCATAATCCGGCTCCAATGCCACTCTAACACCCCAAACCGATGTCCGTCGCTCCAAAATTAGTCAATAAACGTGCAAATCCATAAATATCTACTCTAATACCCATAAAAAATTAATTTATACAAATTCCCAACTTCGTTCGAAAAGTCGATAAATCAACCCTGGGCCCACGTGCCCGGATTCTGAATTTTTTTGAAGATAAACATTATTCATAACATCATGAACTCGAATATATGATTTATTCTTAATTCCATGCACAATTTTGTGGTCAAAATCCAAAAATACTAATTTCTAGGTTTTCTACGAAAATCCCAAATTTCTACTAATTTTCATGCTTAAATCGTTATATAAATCATATATTTAACTCACAATGCGAAGCAAGCACTTACCCCATTATAGTTTATGAAGATGGCACTCCAAAAGTGCTCGAAAATCGGCTCCCATGGACGAAATGAAGTGAAATTGAGCCAAACCCTCATTTTAAAGAAGCACACTGCCAAGCCCAATCTTCGCACTAGCGGTCCAATAGCCGCTTCTGCGGCTCCGCACCTGTGGAAATTCCATCGTAGGTGCAGCTCCAGCTGGGCCCAACAGTCCCCCGCTTCTGCGCGCAGGGTAGCGCACATGCGGGCATTACGGACCTACTCCAACTTTCGAAAATCGGAATCCGACCCCGATATCAAAAAGTCCACTCCCGGCCAAACTTCTCAAAAACCTTCAAATTTTTAACTTTCGCCAAATGACCCCGAAATGACCTACGGACCTCCAAATCCATATCCGGACGCGCTCCCGATACCAGAATCACCATACGGGGCTATTACCAAACTCAGAATCCTAAACGGACATCAATAACATTGAAATGCACTTTAACCCAAATTTATGAAATTCTTCCAAAATGCCAATCTTCCACAATAGGCATCGGAACGCGCCCGGGTCATCCAAAACCCGATCCGGACATACGCCCAAGTCCAAAATCATCATACGAACCTGTTGGAACCTTCCAATCCCGCTTCTGAGGTCATTTACTCAAAAATCAAACCTTAGTCAATTCTTCCAACTTAAAGCTTCCGAAATTAGAATTTTCTTCCCAAACTACTCCGAACTTCGCGAAATTCAATTCCGACTATACGTGTAAGTCATAATACCCGAAGTGAAGCTACTCATGGCCTCAAACCACCGAACGACGTGCTAGGGCTCAAAACGACCGATTGGGTCGTTATATTCTCTCCTACTTAAACATACGTTTGTCCTTGAACGTGCTAAGAACTGCTCTGGAGTTGTCCGAAATGCTTGTTTAACACCTCGTGCACCTACCTGTGCTACCACAACCCAGTTGAGCACACTAGTTCGAGCAAATCTGAAGATTCTCCCTTTTATTCAGTTAAGTTAGCCTTAGAGCCAAATTACAACATCTGAAATTCTCTACTAGGTCTGTTCCCAACATACGAACACCGTATCCATCACTACACGATGTACCAATACCTGACTGTATACTCTTACGGAATTCATACCATGCACCGCATTATTCATATGACCATAATGACATCCGTTGAAAACA